CTTAACAATATCTTTATGCGATCCTTCTCTTCAAAAAAAAAAAAACGCACAATATCCCTTCAGCCATATGTCATCCCTCCAGCATATGTCATCCCTCCAGTCATATTTCATCCTCTCCAGCCATACGTCATCCCTCTAGCCATATGTCATCCTCTCCAGCCATTATAAATTTGTTGAGACATTTTCTAGTCAGCAAAGTTATATGGGAAACAGATGCCTGTTTCCCGTGTAATTGTAACTCTAGGATCATCACGACATTTGCCTGTTTCCCGTGTAACTGTAACTCTAGGATCATCACGACATTTGCCTGTTTCCCGTGTAACTGTAACTCTAGGATCATCACGACATTTGCAAGGAAACGATGGCTACTTTACGAGTGTTTTCAGAATTTGCAGATAATTATCTGTTGATATCTTCTGGTCTATTCAACATGAAGTAATCCAATAATTCTAACATTTGTTTTTTGAAAATACTCTGGGTCTTTTCCGTTTGGTGTCCACCAACAGATCGTTTTGAAAATAACACCAGTAATGAAATTTAATAAAATAGTTAATAACAAAACATTAAATGATATTTGTTTAGCGAATTTTGCGATGGTAAACAATATTTTTTTGAAGAAATCTTTATCTTTCTTTCTATTTCTCCATATAAATTCAAAAAGATAAGTGCCAACCATTTGGCGGTGAGTTCCACACTAACACTTATTTCTTCGCTTTAAACTGTGCCACATACATTCAATATTTTGGGTATGGCTGCAAGTTTCAGAATCTACAAAATTTTCAATGGGATTTACAGTTTCATGCCAATAAAAATAATGCCAGACGCATGTGCGCACTCAGTCCTTGTAAGAATGTCATTTTTGTATCGTTGGTGGGCACCAAACAGAAAAGATCCAAGACTATTGTTAGTAAAAATTAGATGTTGCTGAGCAGTCGTACACATAAAATATATTCCAATTTTCCTGTATGAGATAGCGTATTTTCAATTGGTAACCTATAATATAACATAATACAAAAATGTGAACGAAACAATGGCACTGATTCAAGAATAACAAACAAAAAGTCATGAATCATAGAATTGGAGGATATGAGTACGCGTAAGCTACTAAGTACAAGAGGCATAAAGTCTTGCTGGATGATCATTATATTTCTGACGTAAGCTATTTATTAAAAGTGAGACTTTACTAAGTTGTAACCTTGACAGAAATTATGTTTTCCAAATCTGTAAATAACAACGTATTGTTTTCCTTTAATTCATGAAACAATGATTACGATTCTAGACTTTCGAACAACAGAAACTGGAAACGAATCGAACACGGTCCTAAAATGTTGAAAACCAGTGCAGAATTAGTATCTGCTTTGTTTTATATAAAGAGAAAATTCGTGCAGGGTTTCTTTAACGCTATTTGAAAACTGCGAATGAAAGGTTTTACAACTATCTGGAATGTTCGAAAATAGAAGAAAATAAAATAAGTTTTGAGGATGGATAAGGTGTATCAAGAACCTAGAAAGGTTACGAACATAAATAGCGGTTTTAATTAATTTGGAATCTAACTGGGGAACCTTCGTGGGATTCTTTAAGTTTCTTCACTTTTGCTACTTATAAATGTGACTAGAGCTTTCTCTCCCGGTCATCCCCCGATGGGACAGCGGTAAGTCTAATGACATACAAGGCTAAAATCCGAGGTTCGGTTCTCCGTGGTGGACACAACAAATAGTTCAATGTGGCTTTGCTCTGAAAAACAAAGAAACAAACAAAACCTTGTGATCACATGTATTTGGATATGAAACTTCTATATTTTCAGCATAGTGGTAAATGTCTTGAATGGCTAATGTAATCATTTTAGATTAAATGAAACATAGTTAAACACAATAATCTATACTTTCAGACCTGAAAAAAAAATAACCAGACACTACTTCATGGAAGTGTTCATTGAAGGTACACAGTGTCGAACAGGTGGCGCCATCTCTCAGTTCGTGTATATTCTACGAACAGTGTAAATAAAATATTTCTTCTGACGCTATATTTAAGTATCACAAGAAAGTAAATACATAAATAAAAATTTAAGAAAGTAATTTGTATTATCATTTAATAATGGTTACTCTACAGTTCAATAACTCCGAAATCGTTGCCATCATTAATTTAAAATGAAGAAATCTATTTATTGCTCCAACACAACCATCATTAACATTATCTTATTTTTGAGCAACTTATTTTAAAAAGCCTTGGCCAAAATCTGTTTACAGTTTATACACCATATTTATATTTTCCACTGTTCCTGGGCTGGTCTAGCTGATATAAAGGATCCAGTGAATCTCCAAAGGCGTGAGTTAGCCCTGTGTTAGAGCTCTGAATTTCGTAGCTGGTGATTTGGGTTCGAATCCGTGCGATACTACAAAATATTCCAGGACTTTAAGTTGCGGGTGCATTAACGAGTGAATTCAATTCATTAGCGTGGGTGGTGGGTGATAGGATGCTGTAGACTGGTTGTCTTCCTTCTTGTCAGTAGTACAAAATTAGGGATGGCATCAGATGACCTTAGTAGCCTTGCCATAAATACACAATCTCTAAAATCAGGTCCCCCCCCCCTTCCAATAGCTCAGCGGTAAGTGAGAGCTCGCACCGCTAAAAACCGGGTTTCGAAACTCATGGTAGGCACAACACAGACAGCCCATGGTGTATCTTTGCGCTTAGTAACAAACAAACTGTGAGATCATGTTAATCACTACTAACTGTGTGGTGACAATTGTCTCTAAATGACAAAAATATATTCTCTTTAGACGATTATTTTTAACTGAAACGATGAAAATTTGTATAGTTGTTGTTAGGCATAAAGCTACCCGATGAGCTATCTGCCCACCGAAGGTGTCGAAACCTGGATTCTAGCGTTGTAAGTCCGCAGACATACCGCTGTGCCACTGGGGGGGCAGGGTGTTGATATCACATAAAGTCATTGGTATGGTTTCAATACCCCTTTAAGGATCATGTCCATTCGTGCTGAGATGTTCATCATTTGCACTGGTATACATTTTGTTATTGATGCTTCCGACTGAAAACTGAAACTCGGATGCAAATGTTGAGCGTGAAATTAATGTAACAAATCCACTATTGACGTCAGTCTACCAATACGTACTGCTATTCGTTCTTCCTAATTTTTAGAAAAAGAAAAAACAGTTAATATCACTTCGATTAGAAATTTTTCTATAGAATACAACTTTGTGCACAAATGGTGGGTGGTTCCGCCATGTGATATTCATCGTATGCACATAAGCCATAATTAAATACAACATAGGAAATTATATTTCAAATGATAAGCAAACATAAGCTGTTAAGTTTTTAATAAGATAAACTAAAAGTAAACGCATCGCGTAGTAAAGTTTGTTTGTTTGTAATTAAGCACAAAGCTACACAATGGGCTATCTGTGCTCTGCCCACCACGGGTATCGAAACCCGGATACTAGCGTTGTAAGTCCGCAGACATACCGCTGTGCCACTGGGGGTGGCACGTAGTAAAGTAGATGAACTAAAGAAACTTGTTGTTGTTGGTTTTTCTCTACAACGTTTTAAAAAGGTTGGTAAATAATCATTATTTTTTCTTGCAGATTGCGTGAGCTAGCAACTTTGATCATTAAATTTGCAGAACTCAGCATTTACATAATGTAACTGTGTGTCAAGTATCAAGTTATTAACTGCTGATTAACCAAGGGGTAGAACGTTAGGCATATCATCAATCGCAACATAGATAAGAAAGCAAAATCGACTAATGCCTTCAGAATGAAATATCGATAATTTATGTGACGGTTTTCATAAAGTCTCTAGAGGAACCTACTTCCCTATATTCGTAACTGTCATTTAAATTAGATGGGATGAATCTGAAGCTAATTACGAGTGAAGAACAGAAATGATAATTTTGACAGCTTGTCCTTACTGATATGAATATTTGATATGGCTCAGAATAAAAAGGCCAGTTCCTGAGATGTTTCTTAGCTTTTAGGGAACGTTATGTTTATCTTTATGATTTGTTTATAATATTTTTTAAAATCACGTAGGATTTTGTTTGTTCGTTTCTTGGATTTCTCACAAAACTACACGAGGGATATCTTTGCTGGCTCTGCCTAATTTTGAAGTGGTCTCCAATTATTTACCATTATGTATCACATCAAGTAGTGATCCTAACACAAAGAGCCTTAGCTTGTTAGGGAGTGCATCAATAAAGTTTTGCTTAATCTTAAATATTATAATAACTAACAGTGCAATAGCTGATCACAGTGCGAACCATGAATCGAGCTTTCGAGGATCGAATGTGGTGCCTATTGGAGACCAATGTACTAGAATGAAAGCAGTTAGTCAACACCGGCAACTCTTGTCAGACCCAATAACGCAATCACGGCTCCAATGTGTATAAACGGGACGCGAACCACGGAACCTCAGACTCATAGTCCGGCACGCTGATCACTGGACTACGCTCGGCACATGGCATAGGAAAGCTCTCTGTTAACGCCAAGCACGTCTCTCTTTATCTTATACATTTGGATGTTGATCCAGTCTTCAGGTTCGTAATTTCGTAAAACAAAATCCAAAATATTATTTCTAATCAAAATCAAACTAACTCTTGTATCTCTAGTTTTCATCTGCTCACTTCCTCGACCACATTATATGAACCTGACTGTACTTATAAAATTGACCCGCGTGTCAAAGAAGTGAGGTCTAATGTAGCTTCTAGAATCTTGCTTATGTAGGTTAAATACCTGTTTACCTACTTGTTCTTTCACATAGGGTGTCCTTGCTTTCACCTGATTGGCTAAGATAAAAAAAGATGAATCAAACGAGGATGTCTTCCATAACTCTAGGGGCTTTCACAGGTTGATCTCTTCCTGGCTAGTTCCAGTAAAGCACGTGTTTGTGTAGCAACAGCATATTTTTTTTATACTCTGTTTTACCAAGCGTTGCAATTTCTTTCCTGGTTTGATTTTAGTGCCATCTGTGGCTGGTAAGTAACGAGTTTCAAGTTATTCTGGAGGGTTTTTTTCTTTCAGAGATATAGATTACAAAGTGAATGCTCGCCGATAAATTGAACTGCCTTTGTTGTAACAAACGAAAATTGAAAGATCTACAGTCAGGTTTGTATATTTATATCACTTATCGACAATGTTAATTATGCGATTTATACTGAGCCAACGTATTAAACGATTTACCACAAATTCTGATGAAGTTGAATTTTATAAGTGTGAAAGGCTTAGGTTTGTGTTAGAGTATATATATACGTCTGTGATGTAGAAAGTTGTATATATGTTGTGTTGGTTGTGTTAATTATGTGATTTATACAACCACACTGTGGAAAACAACTGATTCAATATAACTTGTGTTAGTGTTGAATAAATTGATAACTCTGAAAAGTGGAATGTTCAGGTTTGTGTTAAATTATGTAAAACTAGGATTAAAAATGTTATCCATAATCTGTTGCTGTTCTGTTAATTTATGAAATCAATTTTCATAATATCCTTAAAGAAGATTGTACAATAAGTTGTAAAATGTCAATGTTATACATTTTAGATTAATTGTATTATGTTTATTATGAACTTAAAAAACAAAAACAAATGGAGGATGTAATTTGTTTAAAAAAATCTTACCTTAAAAGTATGTCTTAACGCTCTCTCTCTATAAAAATGTCTAAATTACAACAAATTCTAGCAAATCCAGTTGTGCTAGTTATATGTTTATTCTACTTGCAATGTTTGTGTCAGGAAATAGGAAATTTCGAACTTTAAAAACAAAACTTCTGTTTTATTGTAAACCTTGAAGTGTCTAATTAATATCACCAAGTTTTTTCAACTACCAGATCTCTCGGTTAGACGTACTTATCTGTTTAACTGCTACTGTTATGATGCACTTTTCATGGAAACTATTTTAAATATATTTTTTTTTATCATTTTGTGATGAAGTCTTTCTATGGAAAAACTTCAAAAACTTCTTCTACCCGTTTCAACCATCGTGAAAATTTATCTTTTTAATTTTTCAGTAAAGTTCGATCAAAAGGTTCAGGTGACTACATCAAAACTCTTTTTAGTTCGTTTGCAGTTAAGTTTGGTTTGTTTGTTTTGAATTTCGCGCAAAGTTACATGAGAGCTATTTACGCTAGCCGTCTCTAATTTAGCAGTGATAGACTAGAGGAAAGGTGGTTAGTCAATACCACTCACCGCAAACACTTAGGCTACTCTTTGACAGGTTTTTATTGAGCCGGATTCTTCACAGTAGATGTCTGTTGGCGATAAATTTCAACAATAAAGGAACAGCACACAATCTACTTGTTTTAAAATAATATATTCAAAACAAGTCGAACGTTACACTATTGGTTATCACAGTTGTATCCAGAGCTTTGACTAATTGTCTCTATTTCGCCAAAGTCCACACAGGCGGATTCAATTACTTTAGGACACCCTTTGACAAGACAAATTATTCTCCTCTATCTCTGTTATTACAATACAAGCTTTGAAATTCACTTTAGAAATCGCACGTTACGGCTAAACTGATAGGCAGTCTAATTTCATTTTTACTTTCTCTAACTTACTTACTTCACTTACTTCCTAACTTGGTTGCCAATATATATTGCCCAACTCGGGCTTAAAACTTTCTATACGCTACGAGATGTTATGATGTAACAATACTCAATGAAACAACGAGAAACTTAGACGGTTCTAGTAACGTGACGTCAATTCACAATAATTGAACTACACAACAAATAATTCGTCAACAGTTACGTAAGCAAACCTGCGATGAATTATCGCTTCTAAAAATACAAAATTTAACACTCGCACTTTATAACTATCTAAATCATAAGTCTCCTATTAAATTTATATGAAACAGTCGTGTATGTATAACACTTTTAATTCTATCGCCAAGGGTATCCTTTGCTGCGCATGACACAAAGTTTTAGTGTCTTACATTCAAAGTTTTATCAAACTACTTTTTGTTTATGTTATACCAATTAGTATAAGTAAATTACCATACAATCTTAGCTAATAATCCATATTTTAATAGTATATAAGTTCTAATTTCTAAATTTTATAAGGCAATATTTTAAAAAAATTCAGAATTCCCCTAGTGTGAAACACGTGACACATTTTCTCTGGGTATCTTCTCCTCTCTGTTTTATCCACCACCTCTACAAAGTGTACGAAATTAAATGTAAATTACTCTATAAAATAGTCATTGCTCAGACAAACTATAATTTTTAAAGCCTTTAATTTTGTTTGGTTACAGAGCTGTCAAATAGAAAATCAGACCCCTCCTGCCACACCCACCTGTCACATTCTCTCTTTCAGAATTTGGTATTAGTTCTCTCTTACGTTTAATTATATATTACCTACAACCAATAGAAAGTCAAGGTCTTCATCTATCAAATGAAGTATTGTATCATATTGTGTTCTGAACGGAAAGTACAAGCTTCATTCCCATGGGAGAGTTAACGACTAACCTGATGAATTTGTAACAGCTCTTGTTGCATAGTTAGAAAGGCAGAAAAGACTTATAATATGAACTGAAAGTTGGATGTATTAAATCTAAAGACTTTAAACGAGTACAAAGAGGTTACGTGGTCGGTCAAATTGGCCAAGACCATGTTGAGAGAGTTAAACAACGAATATTGGGATTGACCGTCACATTATATTACACCCAAGGCTGAAAGGGCGAGCATGTTTGGTGTGACGGAGATTTGAAATCGCGACTCGCAGATTACGAGTCAAACTCCCTAACCACCAGGTCATGCCACGCCTGCAGTTAAGTGTCCGATATTTGCGAAATGTAGGTCCCTTACTCATGAAAAGCCTTACCTTTTAATTTCACACAATGCTAAGGTTTTCAGTAATAACATGTTGAATGGGTATGTAAATGTAAAGAGAACTAAAACAATCGCAATCTGAATAAAGAAAATCCAGTTCGTTGTTATTGGTGTTTGGAAATTTAATGTTAGATATTGAAAGTAGTAACTGCTACAGGGACTAATCGTGAGTAATAGATCCTAGATAAGTAGGATCTGTGCTTTTGTCAAGAACGAAAAATATTTTATATTTACCATTGTTAGATGTTTTTGGTTAACCTGTTGCAACATGAGACAATTTCGCTTACTGCATTGTGAAATTAGTGTCGTTTTCTTAGTGTACATCCACAAAATGGGCTATTTACACTCTGTTCACGGCTGGAAATCGAACCCCAGATATTAGTTTTGTAAATTACAAACGATGTTACAACATGTGAGGTAGTTTCTATGATAACATTGTTGAATTGGATTGTCGTGATTATGATTACATTGTTAGGTTTAAGTGTCGTGGCTATGATAACATTGTTCGATAATAGTGTCGCGATCATAATATTATGCTACGAATAATATTATTGTATCGAAATACAATACTTTGAAAAATAAAGTTTAGAACTACGTTTTTAAATTCATTTAAATTCAAAAAATTTCAACAATTTATATTTTTACTGTGTTTATTTGTAAAGCTCGAATTTGAAAATATTAAACCAAGTATGGAGCCTATCTATATAACTAGCTATCTGTCAGTCTATATAACTTTCTATATATATATATCTGTCTGCTTGTTTATCTGTATTTCTATCTATCTATATATATATGTTTATTTATCTACTTGTCTATCTTTCTCTCTCTCTATCTGTCTGCTTGTTTATCTGTATTTCTATCTATCTATATATATATGTTTATTTATCTACTTGTCTATCTTTCTCTCTCTCTATCTGTCTGCTTGTTTATCTGTATTTCTATCTATCTATATATATATGTTTTTTATCTACTTGTCTATCTTTCTCTCCATCCTATTGTCAGTTTGTAAGTTTGTTGGCCATTATTTTTGTTTTTTGAGGAAAAGACTTGAACAAAATACTGATGAACCTGCTGTTCTCCCAGTTGATGACAAACACCCTACAGACA